CAGGCAAGCTTTATTTATTAAAATACAAATGAAATGCCACTACAAGAGGAGGCAGCAGTCTGTAACCCAGGGAGAAAGGTCTCAGAGACAACCAAGCATGTTGGCCTGCAGAATGTAAGACAATGTTCATTGGTTAAGCCACCAGGCTGCAGAATTGTGTTATAGAAGTTTGAGAGTCTCTGGCGGTGGCAGTGGTGCACGCCTTTCATCCCAGCACTAAGGAGGTAGAAGGAGGCAGTCTCTGAGTTTGAGGTCAGTCTGGTCTACAAGCGAGTTCCAGGACAGCCAAGGCTACACAAGAAACCCTGTCTCAAAAAACAAAAGTACAAAAACAAACTAAGAAACAAAACCAGAAACCTTTGAGGCTTTCCAAAGAGAACAAGGTGACTGCATCTTGCCTTTCAATCCTAGAAAGAGCAGCCATTGCATTCCTAAGAAACAGATACATACTCTATGTTTGGAGTGGACATTTCTGCTCATGGTTCCTGATTCACTGGTGTCTTGGTTACTTTTTTATTGACAAGACACTGTGTCCAAGGCAATTTATGAAAGACAGTATTTAACTTGGGGATTCAGTTCCAGAAGGTTAGAGTCCATGGCCATCATGGTTGGGAGTACGGCAACAGGCAGGCAGCCATGACACTGGAACAGTAGCTAAGAGCTTACATTTGATCCCCACGCACGAGGCAGAGACGAAATGGTAACTGGGAATAGCATGGGCTTTTGAAATTTTAAATTTCATCCCAGTGATATACTTCTCCAACAAATTCACACCTTCTAATCCTTCCTTAGAACAGTTCCACCTACTGGGGAACAATTACTCAAATATGTAACCCTATGGGGGCCATTATCATCTGAACCACAATTGGTGACCCATGTCATGCTGCAACAGTTCACAAGACCTGTTTTACAGCACAGAGTGTTTGGGAAAGGCATCAGGTATGAATCCACTGTTAATGCCCTAGACCACTCAGAAGCTGCCATGCTGGCTTTCTGATGTTGTGGCCTTTCATAGATTGCTAAAGCACAAGATTATAGAGAATACTTTGTGGAGATGGGAAACAAACTCCGAGGATGCTGTACATACTTTAGCTCATAGCTTTTCTTTGGAGCTGGGTTCTCAACAGGCAGATAATAATGGGTAGAGGCTGAAGTTTCTCCACTTGCCACCACTCCCAGGGGCTTAGGTTCCAATCCCTACAACCCAGAGTTCTCTAAGCTTATGGGTCTAGTATCCAAAATAGGGCACTTTCACCAGGGGACACAGTAAAAGTCCTGCTAGAATAAAGGCAATAAAGGTGCTACTTGGGTACTTTAGCCAAGAAAAAGCAGCAGAGAGAAGTCACCATCCAAGCAGCTGACCTTGATTATAGAAGATGGTTGGCCGGGTGGTGGTGGTGCACGCCTCCTTTAATCCCAGGACAGGAGGCAGAGGTAGCTGGATCTCTGTGAGTTCAAGGCCAGCCTGGTCTACAAGAGCTAGTTCCAGGACAGGCTCCCAAATCTACAGAGAAACACTGCCTCAAAAAAAAAAAAAAAAAAAAAAAGATGGTTGAACTGTTATTACAGTGGGCAACGGGCACTATTTGCCTTACTAGCGGTCTGTTTGGGTGCTGTTGTTCAATTTTGATGGTAAATTGACAAGTTCAGCAGTCACATTCTAGGAAGAATATGGAAACCAAGGACTCCAAACACTAACAATGAGGTCTATGCAAAGCCACTGCAAGCAGAAGTGGGGCCATCTGCAGTAGGAAGAACGGTGACATCTCCCACTCTTCCTTGTTAATGGTGTTCTCAGGATTCCTGCACCACCTATGGAAGCTGTTCATCAAACCTATACCAAGAGGGAGACCAGAGCAGAAACAGTGGGACTATTTTGAATGTCATAATACACTACCCAGAGCTCCTTGGGCTGCAAGGACTTCAGTCTTCCTTGGGAATGACTCAGCTTTAAACAGCACCTTGGCCTAAGATCACACACCCTTTCCTGGAAAGTCTAAACCAAGTGACCTATGAATTGGCAATTTAAAGGCCCGGCAGATGCAGCAAGCACTCTGAAATTGACTTAGGCTTCCTTGACAGTGCATCTGCCTGGCTCCCACTCCTTCCCTCCCTCATTTGGTGTCCCAGGAGTCCTCCTGGATAAACCTGCTGTAGTGTTCGCTCCATCCCACTCTTGGCTTCCTGGGAAACCAAAGTTGTGGACATATGGTCATACATATGGCGATACAGGGAACTATGCTGGTTTGGGAAGATAAATGCTCAAGTTTTTCAGTTAAGTGTCATGAGGTTTGCAACTTATTTTCAAACTGTTCTTGGAAAAAGTGAGTACAAGTAGACTTTTAAAAATAGATTCACATATAGTAAATGTGGTAAAATGTTAATAATTGGCAAATCTAGACGAAGTCATTTATGTTTATTTCAGGTTTTCTGTAGTTTGGAAATTTTTCCACCACATACAAGCAAATAAAGAAGCAGTGGGGGTAAAATCCAAGGTATGAGTTTCAAATTAAGGGAGTGTTAAATGTTATCAAATAGTTATAAAAATGAGCTGGGTGTGGTGGCACACGCCTTTAGTCCCAGCACCTGGGAGGCGAAGGCAGGCAGATCTCAATATTCATGCCAGCCTGGGCTACAGAGAAACCCTGCTATGAAAAACCAAAAAATAAAAATGTTCAAGTAATGCTAGGAGTGAAAAGTGTCCTAGAGATTTTGCACCAAACAGGTTCCTGAGATCTTGGGGACAGAAGTACCAATGGACCTAGTATGTTGTTGCTTCCCTACAGACTGTCATTTGTCAAAAGCACCATATATTCAGACTCATTGGACTTTCAAGGCTGTGGTCCAGCTAGTTCAGCAATGGCTGTCTACCAGCAGAAGGTTCATGTATCCAGTAGTTGTTCAGTCTATGAAGCTGGATGTCTCAGCTGGTCTTCAGTATAGGCCAGGATCCTAAAGAAGAGGCTCTACTGCCAGTGAAAAAATGCACTTGCCAGCCAGAGTGAAGGCAAGCAGTCAGAGAGAGAGCAAGCTGCCTTCTTCCACATAGAGGCTGCCAGCAGAAGCTGCAACCCAGATTAAAGGTGTGTCTCCCCACCTCAAAGATCCAGATTAGAAGTGGGTCTTCCGACTTCAAATGATTTAATTAAGAAAAATCTCTCACATATGTGCCTGGCTATTTGGATTTCAGAGAATTCCAGATGTAGTAGAGTAGACAACTAAGACTAGCCATCATACCTACCCAGAAAGAATTCACTGGAGGAGCCACATAAACTTATAGCTCTAATATACAATGTTAGGCCGGGCGGTGGTGGCGCACGCCTTTAATCCCAGCACTTGGGGAGGCAGAGGCAGGCGGATCTCTGTGAGTTCGAGATCAGCCTGGTCTACAAGAGTTAGTTCCAGGACAGGCTCCAAAACCACAGAGAAACCCTGTCTCGAAAAAACAAAACAAAACAAAAACAAAAAACAAAACAAAACAAAATATACAATGTTAGGTACAGCAGGCACAGCTAAGGAGTTAAGTAGATGAACCAAGACCACCCGCAACTCATAGGTTGAGTATAGCTGAACTAGATTTGAATAGGCTAACTAGTCCTTTGGATTAGTTTGGCTTGCAAACTGAAACTTTTTTCTTTTTCTTTCTTTTCTTTTTTCTCTTTCTCTTTCTTTTCTTTTCTTCTTTCTTTCTTTTCTTTTTTCTTTTCTTTCTTTTTTTTTTTTTTTTTTGAGACAGGGTTTCTCTGTAGCTTTGGAGCCTGTCCTGGAACTAGCTCTTATAGACTATGCTGGCCTTGAGCTCACAAAGATCCACTTGCCTTTGCCTCCCCAAGTGCTGGGATTAAAGGCGTGTGCCACCACTGCCTGACACGAACTGGAACTTTTATATTGCATTCCTGGTAACCAGGGTCCACGAGCAGACACCTGAAGTTCCAGCTGTCATGGAGGCAGATGTGAAAGGATCAGTTCAGCCCGGGAGTTTAGTGACAGTCCTGATAACATAACAAAATTGAAAGACAAAGGGAAAAAAAAAACCTCAATATTTAAACCAAGCTATTTTATCAAAACATCTCAGTTTGTTACAAACATCCAGGCAAAATTCCGCTAGAGCTGGGGGAAGGGGAAGGTTTTGAGGAAGGCAAGGCAATCATTCTCTGGACACAGCCAATCTCAAGGGTTTAAATGAGTGTTCAACCTCTGTAGCATACTGTGAACGAGAGCTTAGCTATTTTAAAAGAAAGAACAGAAACCTGCACTAAAATGGTATGTATTTTGCTCACTACTTTGGGGGCAAGTCGGTTCCCATGAATTGAGCACAGAGTCCTCCTTCCCCTTAATTCCAGCTCTCTCATGAAGAGCATTGAACAACTTCAGTTTATTAACTTTGTTTGCTTTTTGGAGATAAAGTCTTTCTCGGTTGCTCGGGCTACACTCTAACATGATTCATTGGCCTCAGCCTCTTGAGTGAACACCTTGCATTTCATTCAAACTTCAGAGTGGCAAGCGATCATTGTCTTTTATTCTGTTTCATTTTGGATATTATCTTACATCCTATTATGTATGTATGTATGTATGTATGTATATATGATTATTTATTTTGGAAAAGGAAGACTGAATCGAATCCGCATTCTAGGAAGGAGGTTAAACTTCCAGTTCCCTCGTTTCACATTTAAATCTCTACCAACATTATTAATGCTAATTCTTTCCTGGTCCAGGGTCGCGCAGCGTCTCCCTGGTCTGCCCGTGGACCGACGTTGCCCTCTTACTTTGCTGCCACCCAGGAGAGAAGGACCGTGACACCTGTTGTCAAGGAGGCGCTGACTCCACCTGCGCCCAGTCGCTCGGCTTCCGGCCGGCTTCCAGGCCCTCCAGGCCCTAGCGTCGATCTCGAGACTATCGCTCCGCTCCCACGGGGCGGAGCCTGCACCTCCTCCCTCTCGGCATTCTGCTTGTGCTGCCTCGCCCCGGCGGCCGTCCAGCGAGAGGCGGAGCGAGTCCAAAATGGCGGCTCTCAGGCTGGCGCGCTCCGTGCTGCTGAGGCTTTGAGGTGGTCGCCCGGGGCCGGAGAGGGGACGATTTCCCCGGCGCGGGGCCCCCAGAGAATGAATCGGGGGCTCTGCTGAGACGAGGCGGCGGGGCTGGAGAGCAGTGGCAGCAAAGGGCTGCGGTGGCGTCCACGCAGCGGGATGTGCGAGAGTTACTCCAGGTCGTTGTTGAGGGTCTCGGTGGCGCAGATCTGCCAGGCGCTGGGCTGGGACTCGGTGCAGCTCAGTGCCTGCCACCTCCTCACCGACGTCCTGCAGCGCTATCTGCAGCAGCTGGGCCGAGGCTGCCATCGCTACTCTGAACTCTGTGAGTACTGGGGCTGGCTTGCGGGAGGGCTGCCTCCAAGCCGGTCACGAGTGACACCTCCGCTTCCCCCCTCGGGCCCCTTTGGGCGTCCCCTCCAGGGGTGGCGTTCCGAATCCGGCTTCGGGATGGGCGATCCTCTAAGACTCCGATGGTCCTGGGTTTCCACCGTCCCCTGCGAACTCCAGTCATCCTTTAAGTGCCTCTTCCTCATCCGCTAACTTCCCGCCACCAGCCGGGAAGCAGGGTCCCTGCCTGCATCTCTACACCCACTCACCTCTCCTGGTCCTGCCATGGAGCTGCGCGCTCTCTCATTGTCTCGGGTCGGCTGCGGCCAGAGCCACCCCAGAATGCTCTCCACCTCGCTCACCTTGGTCTTCTGCCTCCCCTGCCCGCAAACTACTACAAGTACTTGTCACAGGCGCTCCGTCTACCGGCCGTTTCTTACAAGGCTGGCCATTCTGGAGCTCCTAACTATAGACTCGTTGACAGCTCTGCTCAGTCAGGGTCGTCGCCTCTCGTTTTCTCTCTTCTGTTCGTTTCACAGACAGCATCTCCGCTGGCTACTTTTCAAGGCCAGCTTTGTCGATGTCACTGAATAACTTTGACTAGCATCTTAGTTACGCACGGAGTTCCCCCTTTATGCCTTTATGTCAGTATTGAGCCAAGTGTGAGGGGAGCTATTATAGGTGATTTGCAAGGTTTCCCGGGTCATCAGGGCTGCATAGCTACTGGCTTTTAACTGAATGCCCAATAGTATCTTTAGCCGGGGAGTATTTAATAATTGTAAACGTCTCTAAGAAACTACAGATCATTTTTATTGAAGTGTGAAGTCATGCGTGTGTGTTTGTGTTTGTGTGTGTTGTATTGGGAGTTACACCATTCATTTAAATTGCGTGATATGATGGGGGTAGGGGACGCAGCGGTTTCAAGACAGGGTTTCTCAGTGTAGGCTTGACTGTCCTGGGACTAGCTCTGTAGAGAGCAGGCTGACCTCAGATTTACAGAGATTCACCTGCCTTTGCCTCCCAAGTGCTGGGATTAAAGGCATGCACTATCACCACTCAGCCCACATACAGCTTTTAAGGTAGTAAGTTGTAGAATTAATGTGTTTTATAAAGTACTTTGGTCTGCTAAATTAAGACCTATAGACTCTTTGTACTTTTAAGACTCCAAATGCCATTCCTATCAAAATAATCAGATCCTGTCCATGATAAAAATCACATCCTGTCAATCATCCTTTAAAAAGTATTTTGATCATGTTCCGTTTGCTACCTTCTAAAAATCTTAGCAATGCACAGTTCCCTTTGTGAGCTCGTATTTTTTTCTTATCTTCTGTCAGCCTAACTACTAATCTGCAACCATGCTGTGGTGCCTGCCTTTTCCAGCACATTTGAAGCTCCCCACTCCCATTCATGCCTTGTTTTACTGACTGTCCTTCTGGTCCACCAGCAGTACCACTTACATTTTGAAATTTACTTATCACTTGCTCTGGGGAATTTGTGTTATCAGCTGTCATAATCCTCTGCATGTTTCTCATGCGCTGTTTGTCATCTTGCTTTCTAATTGTGTGTGTGTATGTACCCTGTCCCAGGAGACAAATAAATTATATTCATACTTTGCATAAGTATCTAATGTGCTGATTGGAGCATCCTGATTGTATTAGTATTAACCTAGGGTATGGCCAAAATAGTATAGAAACTCAGGAAACAGTTGTCTAGTAAATGAATGGATAGTCTACAAATAGTAGCTACTTACTGAATGAGTTCCTAAAATGCATTGTTTTGGAGTGCTTATTTTCCTACCCAGGGAATTCCACAGTGGCATTCATTCATTGGCACCTTAAAAATATGCCATGCAGAATGATTTTCTAGCCTTTGCTTCTTTGCCTTCAAGACCCTCTTCCACAGATCTTGAGTATATTGTTACTGTTATGTTTAAGATAAATTATATTTTGATACCTAGTTCTTGAGCTAAATGTTGTGTACCTTTTTGGTTTTCAAAATATCCCCTGAATACATAGTTACCGTTTATGTCAAAGTAGTCATGAATTTAAGCTTTCCAAAGTGGCCAAGGGATCATTGTGCTTTACTGTGAACCTCTTTCTTTTTCTATTGTGTTTTATTTTCGGGTCTTTCTACATAGTCTCAACTGTCCCAGAACTCTTTGTAGACCAGACTGGCCTCAAATTCACAGAGATCCACTTGTTTCTGCCTCATAAGTGCTGGTATTAAAGGCGTGGGCCATGACATCTGATGTGAACCATTTTCTGAAATACCCATTTTTTTCTGAATAGTTTTCTTTTCCTCATCCCTCCAGACTCCCCTCCTTTATGAGAATATGATTGTCAGGTTCATTATTTTCCATTTGGGTTTGGTGACTTGTTAGAAATGCTTATTTAAGTAGACAGTTATAGATTGTAGGGTTGTAGATGATTCATTCATTTACTGGACAACTATTTCCTGAGTGTCTATATTATTTTGGCCCCACCTTAGGGTAATACAGATACAGTCAGTGTGCTCCAATCAGATAGAACATTAGAATTTATGCAGAATATGAATACGATCAGTCTGTGTCCTGGGAAAGGGTATTCTAAGAAAGTTGTTCTGCCAGTGACATGTCAAGTCGGTAGCACTTGAAGCCACAGCCCTGCTTTATCTTCCTTTTACCTTCCAAAGCTCCCTTGAGCTTTGGTTCACTCCTGTGCATCCAGAAGGTTGAGACAGGAGGATCACTGTGAGTTTGAGACTGACCTGTGCTACATAATGAATTCTGTGTCAGTGAATACTATATCTAGAGCTTGTCTCAACAAATCACTCATGTTGAGCCACATCATAATAACCTTTTAGCTACCCTAGTCATGGATATTACATTATAAAAATAAGCAATTCATAAACCTTAAATCACTTTAAAGAGTATATCACAATTTTTCTGTTTTGGCATTGGTTATAATGTTCCATTGTGCCTAATGTATAAATTAAAATCTAACATAGTTAAGCTATACATAGGCAAAAACTGTAGTTTACATGACTTTGGTACTGTTCATGGTTCCAGAATCCACTGGGGTTGCTGTAATGTCTTCCGAGGATAAAGGAGACCATTCTTCTGTTTGGTTTTTTGAGACAGGGTTTCTCTGTGTAGCCCTGTCTCTTAATGAAACTCGCTCTGTAGATCAGGCTAGTTTTAAACTCAGAGATCTACCTGCCTCTGTCTCTAGTGCTGGGATTAAAGGCCACACCTAGTAGGCAGGAGACCATTTTTTACTGATAGAGTTATAGTAAAAATACAGTGTTGAGGAAAAAAAAATTATCTGAACTCTTTGGCAAGGAAAGGGGGTCTGGAGAGCAACAGAATTTCTTTATACTGAGACTATGAGACATGTAGAATTTAAGGTGGTTCTGTTTTTACATCAAAGACTTTAATGAGAAGAAGTGAAATGCATGTTTATTATTTAGTAAGAGAAGGATGAGTATTAGTTTTCTTTTTTGTGCATCACTGAAAATATTTGGGTTTTTCTGTTGTTATTTGTTTGCTTGTTGTTTTGGGGGGGGGGCGGATAGGGCAGTTCTCCACATACCACTGGCTGTCCTTGAATTTGTTATATATACAAGGTTGGCCTCAAACTCACAGAGCTCTCTGCCTGTCTCTTAAGTGCTGGGACTAAAGGTGTGTACCATGCTTGGCAGTGAGCTTTGTATTATTTAAACAATGTGATATTCTGTTTAAAATCTAAATTTTTTTTCCTGTAACTAGGGTTTAAATAAGTAATATATTTCATTTCAAATTGTGTATTTTATATATTTTTAATATTTTGAAAATAATCGTGGATTTTTCTTTCCAGTGATATGATTTGTTTTTGACTTTGTTTCAGATGGCCGAACAGACCCCATTTTGGATGATGTTGGTGAAGCTTTCCAACTTATGGGGGTTAATCTGCATGAACTAGAGGACTATATTCATAATATTGAACCTGTCACCTTCCCACATCAAATTCCTTCATTTCCTGTTAGCAAGAACAATGTCCTTCAGTTTCCTCAACCCGGAAGTAAAGATGCAGAGGAAAGAAAAGACTACATTCCCGATTACCTGCCGCCCATCGTGTCTTCTCAAGAAGGTTTGTGCCCTTTAATCGTCGTGCATTAGTGACTGCTTTGATGGGGTTTTCGTTTCCTTAGCTTCTCATACTCTACTAGGACGGACATCCTACAAGTTCAGTCTCTGCGTTTTAAAGTGATTTACAGATTATTCTAACCCTTTACTGGACATGCTTGTGGCTGGTGTTATCAGGCAGTCATGGTGTGATCAAGGTCCTTTGTAACGTGTAGATAGGCGAGAACAGAGTGTGACCACACAGAATCTTCTTGGTACATGTATTACACAAGTTAGAAGACCTTTGAAACAAAAAAGAAACTTAGGTATCTCTTCTCCTCCTGTTATTTGATTACTGAAGAGCTGAATGTACCACTGTATGCCTGGGGATAATGAGTGCATTGTGAGTACTTGCTGATATGAGGCCCGGCTCTCTTGTTTTGTTCTTTTTTTTCCCTCTCAGGATGAGTAGAAATAATTTCCTCTGGGCCATTTAAAACTTTTGGTTATACAGAGGATGGAGCTGTAGCTCAGTTGGTAGAGTGCTTTCTTGTATAGGAAGCTTTGAGTTCAACCCCAAGTGCTGTATAAGATCAGGTGTGATGGCACGTGCTTGTAATGCCAGTACTCGGGAGGTAAAAGAAGGAGGATCAGAAATTCAAGGTCATCCGAGGTTACGTGGTGAGTTGAGGCCAGCGAGGCCTATGTGAGACCCTGTCTCAAAGAAAAGAAGGCAGGCAGGCAGGCAAGCAGCTGACTGCCTGGAAGGAAGGCTAGCTGGTTTACAGGCTAAACAGATTCACAGAGACAGAAACTGAATCATATTTACTAAGGTTGGGGGGAAGTAAGGAATGGTGATTTATGTTTAATGAGAACAGTCTGTGTTTGGGAAGACAATACATTGTAGAGATTGATGGTGGTGATGGTTTCATGAGAATGTGAATATATTCGGTACCCACAGAACTGTACCACTAGAAGTGGTTAAATGTCCTATGCATGGACTCATGCAGTGTTTATACTTTGTGAGTGGCCTATCACATAGCATAATGTCTTTACGCTTTGTCTCCAGTGTTCGTGGGTTAAAATTGTCCTGTTTGTTTTGTTTTTGCTTTTGCTTATTGAGACATAGTTCTGGCTGTCCTGGAACTCACTGTGTAGACCAGGCTGAACTTGGACTCAGAGATCCTTCTATCTCTGCCTTCTGGAGTGCTGGGATTAAAGTTAGGCACCACCATGCCTGGTGCATTATCCTGTTTTTAAGGCTGGGTGGTGTGACATTTGCATATTCCACATCTATTTCAGCACCTTAATAGAACTCGGTTGTTTTTACCACTGCTTTCTGTGAGTAAGGCTGTTAGGACCATGTGAGCATGGAGTGTAAATCCTTGTCTATGTCTGTGCCTTCAGGTTTCTTGTGTGTACACCCAGAAATGGACATGCTGTGTTTGAATGAAATATAGAATAAAGAATCTTGCTTGGTTGAGTGCTGAGGTTTGCACATGCTTCTCCGCTGAGCAACCCATCCACATGTTAAGTTTTACTTTATTATATTTTATTTGTGTGTGTGTGTGTGTGTGTGTGTGTGTGTGTGTGAGAGAGAGAGAGAGAGAGAGAGAGAGAGAGAGACACCACAGCATGTGTGTAAAGATCAGTATTGGTTCTTTCCTTCAACTTTGTGGGTCCTGGGCATCACAGCCAGGTCATCAGGCTTAACAACTAGCTCCCTAACCTGCTGAGCCATATCTGCTACTCTAGTGTATATCTCATTTTTGAGAAACCATACTACTTTTCCAAAGCAGCTGGCATCATTTACCTTCCAGCCAGGAATGGCCAAAGCTGCAGTTTCTTACAGTTCGATTTGTATATCTCTTGTTCCCCTAGCCTTTGAAGTATTAGGTGCTTGTTTCATGGACTAGGCTTAAGCTTGGAGTAAGGTGTTTTACAATTCATGTGGTCATGCTGCCTATCTGAAAACTGGACAAGCATTGTAGTTGTAGAGCTTCTTGTGGACTGATGGGTTGCTGCTAGGCCCCAGCTCTAGTGTGCAGTGTGTTCCCCTGAGAAGTACTGGGGCTGTAATGCGTTGTTCTGAAAACGAAGCCAATTCATATAGGCAGTCGTCATGGTAGACAAGGAAAGTACGTGGCGTAAGCTTTCCTTTCTTGGGAGGTGGTGTGATGTATGTGAATATGGTTAGAATTGGGGTGCGGGCATGTGCATGCCTGAGGAAGCCAGAGGAAGATGTCAGATGTCCTGCTTTTCAGTGTCTGCCTTATTCCCTTACTGAGGCATGGCTTTACATTGAACTGGAGTTTGCTGGGTTTTGGCTGGCCTGACCGGCTAGTGATCCTCTTTTTTCCCCTGCAGCCCATAGTACTAGGGTTACCCGTGTGCATGTTTTACCCAGCGTTTTACAGGGTGCTGGGTATCCAGGCTTAGGTACTTGTTCCTGCCCAGCAAGCACGCCCACCCGCTGGACCGTCTGTCTCCCCTTCACTGTAACTTTTAAAGTTATCATCATTCTCTGGTCTGAGCCTGTTATGAGACAGACTGTGTTTACTAGCTCAGCACTTTCTCTACAAGATCTTGGGGAAAAAAAATTTTGTGGAGGATACTGACCAGAGTCAGGAGTTAGTGGTACAGAGTTGAGAGTGGTAGATCCATCGGTGGGTGTTCGTGATGGAGCAAGGCATCATCTGTTCTGCCAGACCTCTCAGAAGTCCCTGCTCTTTTTCCTCTGCGCCAGCGCTGTTCTCTCAGACTGTGAGTCTAGGCTATACCTCCGCCACTGCCAATGAGCATGCTACTCATCTCTGCCTCTGATCATCTGTGTTTATTTTTTTTTATTTTTTTTTTAAAGATTTATTTATTTATTATGTATACAACATTCTGCCTCCATGTATGCCTGCACGCCAGAGGAGGGCACCAGATCTCAGTACAGATGGTTGTGAGCCACCATGTGGTTGCTGGGAATTGAACTCAGGACCTCTGGAAGAGCAGCCAGTGCTCTTAACCTCTGAACCATCTCTCCAGCCCGATCATCTGTGTTTATGACCTTTATTTACTGTTGGGAAAATCTTACTTCGATGCAGTTCTTTTTAAACCTTTTATTGTTTAGTGATAATTTTTTTTTTTACCTTAGAAAGCTACTTTTGTTGTATCTGCTTTAAACGGAAATTATTTACTTTTAAAATGTAACTAGTGCATTTAAATACTAATATTAATGAAGGATTTCGGGGTGGGACAGTGACCAGATAATAATTGGATTGACTAGAATTCTACTGTCTCCTAAAGGCTGAGTCTGGTGGTCCTGGAATTTTTTTATTATTGGTGTCAATAAATGTGGTTACTTAAATATCCAAGATATCTTTGTGAAGATAGTACTAAGAATCCATGACATGTCCTTTCATCTTGTGAAAATGAACCCATGTATTTCTGTGAAGTTTTTATCTCCTATTGTACTTAGTAGTACCCAAAATTTGTACTTGTGTTCTGAAAACATGGATGAAACTCAAATGCTGAGAAGAAACAAGGAATTAGAGGAAGAAACTTAAAAAATGATACTAATATATTAGTAATCAGTACATCAATTTTTAAAAAATTTCTCTCTATTTCTCTTTATTTATTTAGCCTTAAACTCAGAGATCCACCTGCCTCTGCCTCTGCAGTGCTGGGATTAAAGGTGTGTGCCACCACCACCTGGCTCATCATTGGTTTTTAAAATGATGTGATCATGAGTGTTATATTAGTGAATAAGATAGAGAGAGGCTAAGTTAACAACCAAGATTTTACATATATTGTCATGTGCATGGCATGTGGCTGATCTGGAATTGTCCACCGACCCGCTCCCTCCCTCCGTGTAGTTGCTTTGTTTGTTTGTTTTGGGGGTTGGTCTTTCCTGTTTTCTTTGATGTAGTTAGGGTTGTTATACTATAACCCAAGTAAGCATGGGCTTCAGTATGTAGCCCAGGCTGGCCTTAAACTGGTAAACAACTTTCTCTGGCACTGGGATTGCAGGTATCTTTATTAGCTTCAAAACTTAAGCCCACGTTCATTGTACCTTTTAAACTTTCTAAATTGAACATTTTTGCAGTTTTCTTATCTACTACCCATAAGACTGCCTACTTAATAGTTAAGTTGCTTTATAATTTAAGGAGGAAGGGTTCTTTTAAGAATTGGACTTATCCACAACCCTAGAGAACCTAGACAACAAAGAGGACCCTAAGAGAGACATACATGGATCTACATAGGAAGGAGAAAAAGACATCTCCTGAGCAAATTGGGAGCATTGGGGTCACAGGAGTGGGTAGAAGGGGAGGGAAAGAAAGGGAGGGAAGGGGAGAGAAATGTATAGCTCAATAAAAAATAAAAATTAAAAAAGAATTAATTAAGAAATAAAAATAATTTGGCAAAAAAAAAAGAATTGGATTTATGCAGGGCAGTGATGGTACACACCTTTAATACTATCACTCAGGAGGCGGAGGCTGGCGGATCTGTATGAGTTCTAAGACAGCCAGAGCTAAACAGAGAAATCCTGTCTCGAAAAAACAAAGGGGAGGAAGGAGAACTGGATTTATGAGACTAAGGTATAGCATAGTGGTTAGAACAAATGAATAAGAGGCAAGAAATTTGGACCCAGGAAAACATGGATTTGTTTTCCTTTACTTTTATTTGATGTCATAAAATTCTGTTTTTGTTTGCTTGTTTGTTTTTTGAGACAGGGTTTCTTTGGAATCTGTCCTAGAACTAGCTCTTGTAGACCAGGCTGGCGTTGAACTCACAGAGATCTGCTTGCCTTTGCCTCCCAAGTACTGGGATTAAAGGTGAGTTGCCACCACCTGGCCATGTAATAAAATTCTTATAAAGTTATGGTTATCGTATTTAAATGCTGCCAAATAACTTTAGTTAAAATATCAGTTTTATAGTAAGTAGTGAAAATACATGAGTAAAAAAGAAATATTGGAGTTTCTTTTCTGGATTATTTGAAGCAAAATGATCTCACTTAAATTTTTTTTCATTAGAAAC